TTTGCTCATAAAATTCATACAAATTACTCCATGTCAGAATATAATTACATTGCTGGAATTTTATAATTTCAGGATTATTTTGAATATAAACATCATATATTTTATTGTATACAAATTTTAGATAAAATTTTTCTCTGGGTAACTATGTTATCTTTTTGCAAAATATATGACATTTATATTCAAAATATTCCTGGTCTTACAAGGAATCCAGCAATGTCAATTGAATTATCCTAACTTTAGTTTGAGGTATTATTTATTAAAATTTAGTGGTTTTCCCCAAAAAATTTCTCAGAGAGGAAGAGCCGCAGTGTAGTGTGAGAGGGGAGGAGTTGAGTCCATTATTTGAATGGACATTAACTAGATGTACTGTATTTCTCTATTTCTTAAGTATTAATTGTGTGCATGTACCATCATAAAATTAAGATGTTATTTTTACTACAACATAGGTATGTGCCTTCAAAAAGTGGAGTTTGGGGGCTCGGGCCGGTTTCTATTGGAATTAATCCCATATGTTCTGTTGTTCACTTAACGCTGATTTCACACCAGGACCCTCTGGGTTCATATATATATATATATATATATATATATATATATATATATATATATATATATATATATATATATATATATATATATATATATATATAACTCAGACTCTGTTATATTACAAAGCCTGTTCATCGAGCTGATGCTTGAACCTCATTGCCCAGTAGGTCGAGGATTCGATTCCTTGCTGGTGAGGTCGTTGATTATATGTTCAAAGTCCGCGTGTTATATGGACTAAAAATGAAGTATATATATGTACCTCGCGTTTCATACCAGCTGGATTCGGTAAAATGCTACTGACACCACATAAGAGGCACGGGCAGTTTCCCAATGAGGTTCACGGCGTCATCAGCTCGATGAACAGGCTTTGTGTGAAATATAACAGAGTCTAGAGCTGCTTTTAGTGTCCTTGTGGCCTAGCCGGTAAGCGTTCCCTAGTCACACCCAGTAGGTCGAGGGTTCGATTCCTTGCTGGTGAGGTCGTTGATTATATGTTCAAAGTCCGCGTGTTATATGGACTAAAAATGAAGTATATATATATATATATATATATATATATATATATATATATATATATATATATATATATATATATATATATATATATATATATATATATATATATATATATATATATATATATATATATATATATATATATATATATATATATATATATATATATATATATATATATATATATATATATATATATATATATATATATATATATATATATATATATATATATATATATATATATATATATATATATACAGTGGGGTATGCTATAACGAATCTAATTGGTTCTAGAACCTTGTTCGTTATAGCATTCGTTCGTTATAGGATTAATCCGTTCCAGGCTCCCAAATACAACCACTTAACACTGAAAAATATAATATAATATTGTAAAAATTGTAAAAAAGTGCATAAATATGCATCTAAACCCCTGAAATAAAGAACGTCATTAATACTTGTAATAAAAAAACAATAAATTAGTAAAAAAAAAAAAAAATTTAAATAATGTTCATTGTAGGAGTTTCGTTCGTTATAGCATTCTCAATTTTATAGATAAAACCGTTCGTTATAGGAATATTTGTAGTAGGATCCGTTCGTTATAGCATACCCCACTATATATATAAAATGGTAAAAATCCAAAAAAAAAACATTAACACTTACAGATAAAATACTCCAGTCTAGCTTGATCCAAATTTATTTAAAAACAAAATCCATTCTTCTTGTTTTCTTTTGAGCGAAAAGGTCAACAACTTTCTCATTGATGTTTGGATGACTGTTAAAGAAATTTTCTCCGTTGAAATCATTGCAAGTGCATTTAGCCTTTCCTGATTCATAGTGCTCCTCAGAAAAGTTTTTATTCTTTTTAATGTTGAAAAGCAGCATTCAGGCTCTGATGTAGTCATAGAAATTGTCAAGAGGATTTTTTTCAGTTTCGCAATCTCACTAAGAACACCATCTGAATTATTTTCCAAGATAAATTTCAGCAGGTTAATTAACCTGCTATATTCATGCATATCGGACCTACTGTAGAATACTCTGAGTTCAGTTTCAAATTTTTCTTTGTCAATCATGGGATATGCTTCAGTGGTCAATCCTATCTCTTCTGTAGGCAGTTTATTCTTAAAACTAGTGCCATGAGCGTCTTTGAAGGATTCTCACAGTACTTCAAGTTTCTTATTTCTAAAATAGCAGTTTTGAAATTTGTTATATATTCATGTACTTTAAACACATCAATTTCTCGAGACTGCATTTGGTTGTAAATTACCTGGTACTTCAACATGAGGCATGATCTGATGAAAAAGCTCCAACCAGAACATGAATTTTTCATTATTCAGGTAGTGCAAAATTCCTGTTGCTTCTGAAATGGTTCGATCTGCATTTACCGTTGACTGGATTTCAGCAAAGCAGCTTTTTAAAGGTTGCAAATTTTCATGAACTTTGTTCACGGTCCGTATGTTAAAGTTCCACCTTGTAGAGGATGGGCGCGGAATGCTGACGTTCATATGCTTATTGAGAATGGATACACGTTGTGGTGATCTTGAGAAAAATTTTGGTATAGACCAAAACGTTAGAGAAAAATATTCTTGAGTCCCGCTTAATACTTGCTGCATTTCTCATTATCAGATTCAGTTGGTGCGCATAACAGTGAATGAAATGTGCTTTTATTTTTGCCGGAACGCCCCCTTTTTTGCCTTTCATGACATTTGCACCATCAAATGTCTGAACTATCAGTTTTTGTCTATTTCCTTGAAGGATTATATCTAACTGCTCTAGAACACATTTTGATATGCCATCTGCAATTCTGCAGTTTGATTTTCTGGAATAAAGAATCCCCAAAAACTCTCAAATATTTCTTCATTCAGCACGTACCGTAGAACAATTACCATTTGAGTGTGTTCTGAAACATCTGTTGTGTCATCAGCCATGACAGCTACAAATGAAGCTTCTTTAATCTCTTCTTTATCTCATCATGGTATATCTGCAGCAGGCAGTCAAGTATCTCATTCTGAATAGTCTTAGAAATACCTGTGAAGACTGTACTTGTTTCTAAATGGTTCTTTAAATCTGGGTCTAATTTATATGCAAAATTTATTTATCCCCTAAATACACCTGGATTTACTGAATCATCTTTTTCATCATGTCCACGTAAAGGAATTTCAAAGTTTCCACAAAATGTAATGCAGTCTATTATCTTGGATAAAATTTCACGGTTCTTGGTAACCTTCCTGTTATGCTCATTGATCGAAAGTCTATATAGGCTTCACTAAGTTTTTCTTTAATATTTACGCTTCCTAAAAGTGATAGTGAAACCACGCTTTCAATATGCTTCTTTGACTTTTCATGTTTTTCAGTTTTTTCTTTCATTTTGTTTATATTTCTAAAGCCGTCTTTTGTCCAAGTTACATCACTTCCAATTCCAAACAACAAACACGGAAAACAAAATACTAATGTATTTTTTACTTCACAACCACAGAGCCAACTTTTCCTTTGGTACCATTCTGAATGAAAGCTACGAATATACCTCTTACTGTTGCTTATTCCTGGCTGAGGTATTTGAATATCAGGTGAGGGATGGCCTCTTGTCTTGATGGCAACTTTCTCATGAAGAGACAACTGTGAAAATTTAAGTTGTTGAAGCTCACTCACTGTCACAGAACTTGTTTCTTGGGAAAACAAGGAGGCCGTGTTTAATTAATTCAAATTCTTCTACACAATAAAGTTTCTGGAAAAAACAATGAATACAAAATGTAGTCTCTATGAGTATGAATCATACGCATCATCTGGTGTGGTGCTTATGCGCCGTCTGCTATATCAAGAGTATTTGAATGTGATAAATTGTAGATGATGTGACATCATACAGTATGATATCACATCATCTACAATTTATCACATTCAAATACTCTTGATATAGGAGACGGCGCGTAAGCACCACACAGGATGATGCGTAAACACTACCTCCCACACTGGTAACCAGATCGGCACTGTGTGATCCACAGTGCTCGCCCCTGCTTGCTTCCAGGACATGCGCGCATGCGTGCGACAAAGCAAACGCCCGTTATTGGAACTGTCGAGTAAGACAGTTCCACATACAGTGAGTTCTGCTATAACGCATGTTTTGACAACTCGAATTGGCTCTAACGCGATTTATGAATAGAAGAACAATATTTGTAAAACGCGAACGCTTGTTTGCTGTAACGCGATTTTTGCTTACTATTTCTCCAATTTTGTGGTATTAACTGTGAATATGGTAAAGAAGAATATCTCCAAGAAGCGTTCTGGTGATCGCATTCCCGGTGATGATCGTAAAAGAAAGGCTATAACACTTGAAGAGAAGCTCGATGTTATCAACCTCAAAATCACCTTTCTCCCCCATCAAGTTATATTCATATTTTATCAAGGTAAAGTGTTACATTTACTGTATGATTTCATTATTAGATATGAATGTAACATTTATTTAGACTGTGCTATCCTTTGTGTTAGGCTAACTACTAAATTTTTTTTGATTTTGAGTAATTTGCACCTAACCCCATTTTCTCCCTAAGCCCTGTTATTTCTATTGCGCGAATTTCTATAACACGATGTTTTACAAGAAAACAACTATCGCGTTATAGCAGAACTGACTGTACAGGGATTTTTTTTTTTTTCTCGGAATTAGAGAATGGCCATTGACATTAAGTTTAAGGATTATTGATAATAGTTTTAAATATCTTGAACAAGTATAAATAAATACTGTAAACATATATGATATATTATATTATATAATACATATATATCGGGTGAAATAGGGGGTGCTGCATTTCCACAGTGCCTACTGACGAGCCGCCACTGTGTATGGCACAAGGTAAACTTTGATGGCTGTCTTAACACTAGTTCTGTTCTTGACATGAATTTAGTATACAACTATTGTATTTATAATAATGGGACATACATTTCAGATATGTTAAATCTAGGCTCTCGGTGATCCGTTCTACTGATCCAGGGATATTCCACTTGTGGCATCCTAAGGAATGTTCAACTTCCCTCTCTGCTGACCAGTACCGTGCCTGCATTACCTCACGCGCTCTTAACGAGGCCTCACATGCTCACCTAGGCCTCATTGCCTTCAAAGATGACCTGGGGAAGCACCCCCTTGGAGCTGAAGCACTCACAGGCAGCAACACACTTGAAGAGCAACAGCTCAAAGCCGAGATGTAAGAGGGTTTCACTTAATGATTAAAACTATAACTTGGAGTGCCTGGTAGTTATCTACTTATGTTTAAACCATGAACTTAGTATTCTCTAGTACTGGTACACAGTACAGTTTGCCATATTAAAATAAGGATATAAAATAATAAAACAACTTATGTGATTGTAGCCACTGGATTCAATATATATATTTACTGAAACTGTAGTTCAGTATGTTAGTTTTTTGTAATATGCTATACTGTGAGACAGAGTTGCATGATGAGTTATGCACATAATTTGTGTTCACTAACATGGATCACCCAGGGCAAAAATGGTATGCAAATAGCATAGGAATATTGAGAAACTGGGTAAGTGAATCATTATTGTGATCCAGATAGAGTGGTACAGTGTTAGTTACCATGAAGGTGCAGAATTACCATGATGGTGTTCAGCTAGTTACCATGATGGTGGGGAGTCCGTTGCCATGATGGTGCGGAGTCACTTACCATGATGGCACTTTTTTAGTTATCATTATGGTACAGAGTTTATAACTATGATGCTAAATTAGTAATCATGATGGTTCCATGATAGTTTCCATGGTGGTGCTGAGTTAGTTATCACAATGGTGCCATGATAGTTACCATGGTGGTGCTGAATTAGTTTATCATGCTGGGGGCAAGATTGATACCATGAAGGTGCCAATTTAATTGCCATTATGGTGTTGACTAAGCTACTATGATGGTGTGTCAAGCTGAATGCTGATATTCATGGCCGTTATCTGGAATGATGTCATCCTCTTGCACAGGGGAAACTTTATCATGTAGGACCACTAAAGTACTATGGAACCTTCAAGATCCCAAATGGCCTCTTCAGTTTGCATAAAATTTTCATTTACAAATATTTAACCCCTAGGTAATACTGTACAGTATAGAAATTTTTCTTCCAGTATTTCATATGAAAGAAAATTCCAAGACTTTTTGTGATCACTCTCAACTAGAGATTATGTAAGGTTTGGACTAACTTATTTTTTTATTAAACTGATACTGTACAGTGCTTTGGGACCTACATTGAGGTTTGCTTTATATATCATATGTAAAATTTTATTGATCTTAAAAATAATTTATTTTTATCATTAAAAACTGAGGTGAAAATGTTGGGATCTTGTCAGAGAGTGTATTTGAAGGAGTGTCTACTGATGCAGCCATGCTGAATAGTGAGGGTGGGTTGTTGGACATAAACTTGTACATAAAGTTTTGGGTTGTGTACAATTTAAGAATAAGTTAACGAGACTTGACAAACATGTTTTTCAGAATGATGATGATGCAAACTGCATTTGATTTCAAAACTTCAAAAGTAATCATTTCTTAAAATATATGCTTTAGATGTACTTTAGTTTTCCATTAGATAATACAGTATATTAAAGAACACCAGCCTGTTATTGCATTTGTTTTTAAACAACCTTGGTAGGGGATTAGATTCTTAGCTACGTTGTGAATTTTTTCATAGAGAAATTTTTATTAAATTATGGTCATTGTATTATTCATATTTTTTGCATAGCCAATAATTTACAGTACTGTTAGGTCTCTCCTACATGATAATCCTTCAGTCTCAGTATTTGTAAGTGATACAACAGTTAGCTTGAAAAGAGAATATATATACGTCCTTTGTCAGCTTGCCAGATGTTCACCTGTTTAATGGTATAAAGTTGGTGGCCTTTTGTTTCTTATATTTCATATTTATGGTTTATTAACTATTCAACCTATTTCTTTCAGAATCAATATCAACGAAGAGAGAACTCTAAACTGATGTCATGTAATTATATCTATATATTATCCACATTCATCTGTTTGCTAAACAAACTGAAAAATAATTTGTTAAATGCAATGAGTAAAGCAGATGTACACTTCCATAAACACTCACGCACACACACATCACCATATTATACAGTACTACAGTACATTCTTCTCTTTTTGTGGTTCTCCTTTAAATAATTGTCTTTTTTTTCCATAAACCTCTCCTACCTCTCTTCTCCCTCTCTTTTTCTGTATGAAAACTGAATTTTAAGCTGCTCATAATGTAAGTGCTTTATTAGGATTGTTCGAAAGTATTGTTAGTTTTATCCTCATGTCAACTAGTCAGTGCTGTAATGTAAGGGTGTAGTTATTGATAGAATTATTTAATTCCATATTGGATGTTGTAGTATGCTGTTCAACTCTTGTAAAAAAGAAAACATGCTACTAGTGTGATTGTCATTTTCAGTTGATGAAGAGACTAATGTCTTGCTGGCATATGATATACAGTACTACTGTGTATGTGAATTCCCGTGATTCCCAATCATTGGCATTATTGACTTCTCATATGTCTTTTGACATTAACTCTGGACTGTACCCATTTTGCTTATGACAGAATCTCACTTCAGGATGTCAGAATACTGTGCTATACTTGCATTAATGGCCAAAAGAAGTTTAATATGTATTCTTAGTCTATATTAATAGTTACCATATTCTTGGGAGCATGAAGAGGATGTATAAATGTTGTCCCAGATACAAAGACTTGGTTTATATACAGCATTGTAACATTGCCATGTTGGTCTCCATTTTACACCTCATAGATAGACAGACAACTACTGGTAATAAAAGAATTAAAGAGTATATACGGTAATATATAAAGTGTATTTGAAGACTAATCTCACTTTACATATAATCTTTCTGAATGAAAAATTAACTTTGAACTGTCTACCAAAATATAAAAAAAACTGTTTACCACAACCAGAATAATGATTAGGTCTGATTACTTTTATTAATTAAAACTTTACCACATAGGTTATAGTAAAAAAAAATAGAATGGCCCTAAATCAATATTCTTGGAATATATCAAAATGTTATATTCTAAACCATATTTTTGGTAGTCACTTTTTATAGAATTCTATTCACATTAGAGATGCAGTAGTTTAGCTCAGATAGCCACATGGTATAGTTTTACCATTTTAAAAACATCCAGCCAATTTGGTGATTCTAAATCCCTTTTTATAGCTGAATGAAAGTGAGAATAATTTTGAAATGCACTTGATCATATGGTTAAAGTTCTAAGGTTCTGTTTGTAAATATCACCAACATTCAACATGTAAGTTTCCTTGGAGAGTGTTGTGTGTCATCACAGGCTGTTTATAATAAGTAGATTGTCTCTGATGTTGTACTTTAGGTGATACTTAGAAATCAGATCCAGGATTTTATAAAGAAAGCCCTTATTATGTGATCAGATCTTCTTGTCTTCCATAGGCTATACCTGTCAACTGCAGCAACATTGACAGGATATTGTTAAGGATTTTCAACATAAGAGTACCTACCATATTAACTGAGGAACAGCCTTAGGCCCACACTTAGGACACACACACAAGTTCAAACATATTCTCATGGTGTAGCACTGCTAAAATACTTGGACATATTTTGGTGTATGTATTGTGTGCTCTCTGCCAGATATTTAGGGCAATATTGTCACAGAAGATGGTATGTATCATATTCTGCTTGCACAAACAACTTGGAACTGCAACACCAGAAGTGTTTATGAAATTGAAGCGTGATTTTTAGAATGTAATTGCCACAAGTGTGCCTCCTTAGTATGGCTCTTCATGTTTAATATTTAGCCTGCAGAGATAACCTTTTTTTGTATGTGACTGTAGGTCTGTACTCCTATAAGAATCCATTCCATGTAAAGCAGATGGTTTTCCTTAAAAAATATATAGGTATGTTGGATGATATATGTACTATGATGAAGTTATTTAAATCTGTAATATACTAATTTATTTGAAAATGTTTGTAAATTGCTTTGGTAAATTTTAAATTGACAATAATAAGTGTTTAAAGCTGTAAAGAATATTTTATTTCTACTGTGGTATTCAAGCATTCCCTTCTTCCACATCAACAGGTGCCTGGTCCAGTGTTGCTGTTATTCCACACATTGTCTCTGGTTGATTTTGATTTTTAGAACATGTAACTAATATTGCTGTAACTAATATTAAATTCAGGGAAATTAATAATTAAATGGATTGTGAACACGGGTGAAGAGCTATGGAAGAAATGGCTGTTAAGATTCAATGTCACGAAATGAAAAATGTACCTTGAGGTCGTACCAACAGTAAGGAGGCATAATACATTTCCCAATGTGTTGAGGAAACATCATCAACAGAGACCAAATGTGAAAACTGCTTGAGTGTGTACTGTGTAAGTTGACAACAAAGTTCTCAAACCATTGTGAGAAGAGTAAGGTGAATCAAGCAACTAAGTTCGTAGGTCTTATAAGGTCATTCACATACGTAGACGATCCGTCCCTTGTAACGCTCTTCAAAAGTGAGGTGCCTCTTTGTTTGGAGCTCAGCCTCACCCACTCTGAGTACTACTGGGTGGCAAGTCAGCCAGGCGACTCGCTATACAATTACGTGCCATCTCCATGGATATTATTCCTTGTTATATCCCTTGTTTAAGATATTTTTTGTTTCAGTTCGCTCGGCAATCTGTTTTTTTAGGAACACATCCCGATTGCCAAACAGCGCATCCCTGTATTTACTTACTTTCTATATTTGCAAAATTTTAAACAGTTTCACTTACAATTTTCAATTTTCTTGTTACTTAGTGTGGTTTTCTCCCAAAATATACTTACCAGTCCAAAATTCAAAGTACAGGAAAGCCTCCGATAATGACGGTTCTACTAATGACGATTCATATTTAAGACCCTGGTTAATTTAGGACCCAATTCAATTTACACCGTTATTTTCTTCATATTTACAATGAAAATAGAATAAAAAATAAAATATAATTAATTTTCATATAAATAATAACTAAATCCTGATATGTATTATACATACAGTATAAAAAAAAAAACGCCTTGCGCATGGAGGCTGCCGGGCTTGTGAGTGGTGACGTCAGCATCACTAGTATAAACAGTCACAGCTGGCGGGCCCTTTGTTTTCATGCATCTGACCAGGAAAATGAGAAAAACTTTCTCGGGTTTCTTACAGCATTTTTGCATCCCTATTCAACATGACCAAGAGAGCAAGTGATGGTAGTGCTGGTTCAAAAGATAAAAGATAGTGTGTAAGCTTAGCCAAGAAACCAGATATTAAAACGATATGAAAAAGGTGAGAGGTCTGTGGATATCATATGAAGAGGGCAATAAACACATTTTCTGAAGTGGATCCATTAACAGAACGAAGCATTAAAATTAACAGGGACTTGAAAAATGCATATGACCTAAACATGTATAATGAGGAAAGAAAGCTGCTGTGCAAGGTTCTTTCAACAGCTTTATTATTTGAAGGCCTAAACCACCAACTTCAGCTACACCATCAAATTCAGCAGCAGCTTCAGCAACAAGGTTCAGTAACAGTTACAGCAACAGCTATGACCTCTTTATGGAAAGCTACAGCTTCAGCCAGAGCCGAACCTGATGACTTTGTCATCCGAGTAAAAACTCTCACAACATTTTATTGGCTGTCCTTATGTTTTTGACTTTACCACCATTGGTGAGTAGAATTTTTGTTTTACATTCATAAGTTTTATTTAAAACATATATGAACAGTACTAAGTGTTGCTTTCATATTCTTATGTAGAGAAATGACGATATATTTTCACATTTACGCACTTACATACGTTGGCGTTCCCAATCGTCTCGCTTTATTTCTTTACCATTGGTGGTTAGCTACTTCTATTGTTCCATTTATTAACATTAAATAACGTTACTTAAAACATACATTTTCATTTTTTATTTTACTTTAATTTTACTACGGGGTCTTATTTTCTTCAGTTTCATATGTAGAACCATCGTCGGGTGTAAACACTAACGAAAACAATGAGGTCTTGTCTCCCTCTTGTGTGTTTTAATATTCTACGTATTATTAATGAATTGTATTGTTCATTTTGCATATAAAAACATGAATTCAATCAAATACATATTCAGTAATAAACAATAATGAATCTTGTGTACATATTCTTAAGGTAAATGACACTGTTTTCTTGAGTGTGCACGTATACGTTGGCCTTCCGCTATCAGTCTCTTTTTTTTTTCTTTACCATAAGTGTTTACATCTATTGTACATTAAATAACATTAATTAAATCATGCCAATTTTTTTAAATTAATTTTATTACAGCAACAACCAGGGTGTAAACACTGACAACAATGGCGTCCCATCTCTTGTGTGACTATATTATTATTATTATTGATTTATATGTATAAGGTGCATTCATAAACATTATTTAAAGAACATTGTTTGCATTTTTCATTACTTTTATTGTTTTGGGGGAAAAGAGGGTAAAAAGCCACACCAAAAAATATGAAAAGGTCAGACTATGGAATGCATCTCATTATTATTTCTTTATTTTAATGGTAATTATTGGTTCACGATACGCTAATTCACCTTACACTGCAGTAATGGAGGACACATTACCGTCATTATTCGAGGCTTTACTGTACTTAAGTATACAGTATTACCCCGCCTAACGCGGTTTCACTTAACGCGTTTTATCATATACGCGGTGCCTCGCCAGAGCTGAACTTTCACTTAACACGGATTTTTTCCACATATACGCGGTGAGTGTCCGGCTCCAGACGCTATTTTTAGATTTGCCCCACCCTGCCTGACTGCCTGTTTTAGCTCATAAAATTCATACAAATTACCCGGCCAGAATATAATTTACATTGCTGGAATTCTTATAATTTGGTGATCATTTTGAATATAAACATCATATTTTTGCATTAGACATACAAATTTTAGATAAAAATTTTTCTCAAATTAACTATGTTATCTTTTGTGCAAAATATATGACATTTATATTCAAAATATTCCTGGTCTTACAAGGAATCCAGCAATGTCAATTATATTATCCTAACTTTAATCTGAGGTATTATTTAATACTAAATGTTAAAAACCCTGGAAGGGAGGATTGGTGGGGGGTGGGGGGGAGGGTTGGGACTGACCGCGCGGTTGGAAGAGGGGGGGAGGCAAGGTGGGGTACTTTGATTGACAGATAGTGTTGTGAAGATTATTTTTTTTTTTATTAACTGAAGATATTTGTTTTAGCTCATAAAATTCATACAAATTACCCGGTCAGAATATAATTTACATTGCTGGAATTCTTATAATTTGGTGATCATTTTGAATATAAACATCATATATTTTTCATTAAACATACAAATTTTAGATAAAAATTTTTCTCTAGGTAACTATGTTATCTTTTGTGCAAAATATATGACATTTATATTCAAAATATTCCTGGTCTTACAAGGAATCCAGCAATGTCAATTGTATTATCCTAACTTTAGTTTGAGGTATTATTTATTAAAATTTAGTGGTTTTCCCCCAAAAATTTCTCTGAGAGGGAAGAGCCAGGAGTGTAGTGTGAGAGAGGGAGGGAGTTGAGTCCATTATTTGAATGGACATTAACTTGGCGACTGTATTTCTCTTAAGTATTAATTGTGTGCATGTACCATCATAAAATTAAGATGTTATTTTTACTACAACATAGGTATGTGCCTTCAAAAAGTGGAGTTTGGGGGTCAGGCCGGTTTCTATTGGAATTAATCCCATATGTTCTGTTGTTCACTTAACGCGGATTTCACTTAACGCGGGACCCTCTGGGTTCAATTGACCGCGTTAAGTGGGGTACAACTGTACAGAACACCCCCAAAAAATAATAATGAAGTATTATTACAGCATTACAGTAAACCCTCAATAACTCGGCATTTGATAACTTGGAATTTCATATAACTCGGCATGGATATGGTCTTGGAATGTATTATAGTATAACCCGGGAAATGCCGAGATATATAAAATTATCTGGGAAAATCTCGGCATATCTGGCCACCTGCATCACCCACCATGCCTCTGTGTCACCTACCATGACTGTGTCACCTACCATGCCTCTGTGTCACCTACCATACCTCTGTGTCACCTTCCATGCATCTGTGTCTCCTGTGATGCTTCATTCTTTGCCTGCAGTGCTGGTAAGTGTTACTTTTTTTACATTTAGTAATTACAGGTACAATTAAAGACAAAAGTCATGTCGCAGTTTTGTCCGAAGATTAAATATAACTCGTGAAGCATTATGAGAGCCCCCTACCACAAGGCAGAGCACACCAAAAGTTTAGTCCTTCGGTATATATTTTCACCAAATTTCAAGACACGACTTTTGTCTTTCATTGTACACATATATATGGGTCGATAATTTTTTTTTTTTTTTTTTAGGAGGGTGAAGTGACTCGATAAGTAGGAATTTGGGATAATTCGGCAAGGCCAGAACCCCATATGTGCTGAGTTATCGAGGGTTTACTGTACAGGGAGCACCCCAAATTCACGGGGATTAGGTTCTCACAATGGCCGCGAATCGCCAAATCCGCGAATAACATTTGCGAACGGGGGAGGGGGGATTTTTACTTGTGTACAAAGATATATACAGTGATACCCCGGTTTACGCGGTCAATTGAACCCACGGGGTACCGCGTAAAACGAAAACCGCGTAAATGGAATAACAGAACATATGGGATTAATTCTAAGAGACTGGCCCGACCCCCAAACTCCACTTTTTCAGACACAATACCTACGTTGTAGTAAAAATAACTTCTTTATTTTATGATAGTATGCACACACAATTAATAATAAGAGAAACATCAATAATATTAGTATTTTTTAACACTTACTTTAGTAGAAAAGATGGCTGGGCACACGGGGATGGGGGATTGGTTCTGAGGCAGAGGGCAGATTATTGGCCCTCACCTGTATTGCTTGTATCACTATCCACCACAGAGGCTTGCAGGGCCTCTTTGTCAAACCCCTCAAGTCCATATAAGTCCATATCCTCATTATCACTATCACTGACTTGGGCCGGCTGTGGTGGGTGGCGGGTGAAGAACTCGGTAATGTTTTGATGATTGGGCGACCTTAGGCGCATCCTGCCCGCGCCGCTTCCCGCGTATATGAGTAGATGCACCGCGTAAAATGAAATTCCGGTTCTGGCGAAGTACCGCATAAATGTAGAATCGCGTAAAGCAAAACCGCGTAAATCGGGGTATTACTGTACTCCTTTTATGTGTTTGCCCTTAGGACAATTATTTCTTTTAGCTGTAGTATTGTATATGTGTGTGTGTGTGTGTGTGTGTAGACACACACACAAAACACATAGAAATAAATACGGTAATAATTGGAAAATACTCTCACAAATAATCCGAAACAAATTTATAAAAATGGTACAGACTACTCTCATTTCCATGCTTTATTAATAAAGTACTGTAATAGAGAACAGACTAGAGGGTAGACTCACATTTTTAATACATTTGTTTCTGATTATTTGTGAGAGTACTTTCCAATTATTATTTATTTGTATGTGTTTTGTGTGTGTGTGTGTGTCTACAAACACACACACACACACACACATATTTACAATATAGGCAAAGGAAATTACTGTCTCTAGAACGAATGTCTCCCTGTCCCAGCCGCGAAAATGCCGGCAACTTTAACCCTTTCCCGCATGGCTTGACTTTATTCACATTTATATTTTTGTCCTTCACCGAATAAATCGACTTTAGTCCACATTCGTAAAAAAACTGTCAACGCATAACTCTACTACAGTCCTTCAGGATTTTAATTATACGCCAGCCCAGTAGATGCCGCCACCCAGTGACGACTGGGGCAAGCTGAAGCTCCCGCCATAAAAACACTAGGAGTCAACATTGTTGCTCTGTGTTTTGCCCAGTTTCCCCATTTTTATGACT